TTCTCAATAGTTTATTTTTTGATTCATTTAAATAGTTTAATTTTTATTGGAAATATTCCTTTTTAAAATGACAGTAACGATTTACATTAATTTTAATTTTAAAAGCATGTCTTTGCTTCTGGTCCTCTTCAACACACCTCTGAAATAGAGTTTATACTGTTTTTCTTATATCACTATTACAGAAAACTCATATTATTATTGAGCAGTTACTCTGGGGGAGATAAGGCCACAATAATTTGACCTCTAAGATTATTTAATAAAAGAAGCAATAGACGATAAAACTTCTGGGTTTAAAACCATATTTTTCTAGAGTAACTGACAACAAACAATAATAATATGATGTTTCAATGACAAAGACACTATATCTTAGATGTGTTGATGTGAACCAAAACAAAGGCATGCTCTTAATGCTAAAATTGTTATTAGTTCAGTCATTGGGGATCAAAAAAGGAGCCTGTTTGGAAAAAAGTCCGGAAGTTTTGAAACTTTGCAGGTTTATAGGTTTTGGGGTCCCTTACTAAAATCCATAAAATGCACATTTCGAGACTTGCCGCCGGCGCCGGCGCCGGCGCCGCCATCTTGCCAAGATGGCGCCCGAAATCGGTATTTTGTAAATATCTCGAAAACTATGCGTTTTTCGTAAAAATTTGAAGAGAAAAAAATTAAAGAGAATAAAATTTCCTATAAAAAAGGTTCTATGAAAATTTTCGCGAAAGTCAATCGTTTAGGCACAAAATCACTGGAAATTTTACAATTTTGCGTAAAGAATGATACACAGTATGTCGATTTTCCGAAATCAAATGTCGATTAGGGTTCACTAAAACTAGTTTTAGTTTAGTTTCCTGAATTTTGTCATAAAACAGTGGCGTATCATTAATTCGTTTAATATAATAATAATTTATTTATGAATAATTAATTGTCGTGCTGGACAGCATTCATTGCGAACTTACCACCAGGTTCAGCATTGGTCTGGTTGTACCAAAGATGCCGAAGAATGGGGTTGGAAGAAAACAAAAACAGGCATTACTCCAGTCACAACGTTGACAGATCCAGCTCCAAAATCCCTATTTGCATTTTTATCCTGTAAATGCAAACCCAACAACTGTGGTAAAGCCTGCGGATACAGAAAAGCTGGATTAGAATGATTTGTGCATACCGCAGTGGGAAATCATGTGACAACGTCACTGAAGTGTCACTCGTCGAATCCGATGAAGAGGAGTTGGACTTGCCTATAGATATCCCTCTGGCGGCTGAAGATGAAGAGTTGGACGAATTGAGAGACCACCCTGATGAGCCCAGCACAGCAGATACGATCGACTTTACATCAATGAGCCAGGTCCGTCGGTCTTGTGCAGATAAGTTAAAGTTTTTAATTTATCTAGTGGAGTAGGCCTCCGGGGAAACCACGTTAAAATACCTCTTGGGTGGTGTGGAAACAAGTACACATTTTCAATAATTAAAATTAATTATTCATAAATTAATGAGCGAATTAATGATACGCCACTGTTTCATGACAAAATTGAAGAAACTAAACCAAAACTAGTTTTAGTGAACCCTAATCGACATTTGATTTCGGAAAATTGACTATACGTAATATATCATATTTTACGCAAAATTATAAAATTTCCAGGGATTTTGTGCCTAAACGCTTAACTTTAGGAAAAATTTTCATAGAACCTTTTTTATAGAAAATGTTATTCTCTTTAATTTTACTCTCCCCAAATTTTTGCGAAAAACGCATAGTTTTCGAGATATTTACAAAATACCGATTTTGGGCGCCGCCATCTTGGCAAGATGGCGGCGCCGGCGGCGAGTCTGGAAATGTGCATTTTATGGATTTTAGTTAGGGACCCCAAAACCTATAAACCTGCAAAGTTGCAAAACTTCCGGACTTTTTTCCAAGCAAAAATCCCCAATGAATGAACTATATTGATTGTTCTCTTTGAAAGCGAATATTTCCGATAAAAAAGCTTCTTTTTTTTCAGTGTGCAAAATTTTATATGGGTATCAACACACTGAAAACTGTTATTACTTTATTACAATGGAACAATTAGTCAAAACATTTTGCTACATTAATTAATGTAACCTTATCCAAAATTCCGAAATGAATTGAACAATTTTTCGTTACAAAGGAAAACTAATTAGATAATAATCTTCGAAATACCAAAAGATTTAAAATTAAAATATCAACTATAATATAAGCTCAAGAAATATCGTTTGTTGATTAAAGTCATTAAGTGTTTTATTAATCAATAGATATGACGTATCGTCTGTTAATATAACAAATAATAATAAGGCAAAAGTTCAAGAATGTTTATACATGCTTGTCTGATATATATAAATGTGTAGATATTTATTATTATCATTTATAACATTATCATGTTATTTTCTATTATATCATATTTAGATTAGTATACAGAGTCTTCAAACAAATACACAGCATTAAACACACAGTTTAATTCCTGGAGAATATTTCCTCGTCATTTCATCAAATGTTCTGGATCGTTGTTTAATTTTTTTGGGATATATAAAAAAAATAAAAAATTTATAAAACTAATTTCTCTGCTACCTCGAACCAAAAATTATTTCAATGTATAATATAATTTTTTCTGCACCTTTCAGTTGACTATGGAAATTTTAAATAAATTATTATTACATATTAAAACAGATTAATTTTTGCAGACCTTCCACATCAATTTAGGCTAGCTATAATATGCAATTTACTATATTAATTAGATATTTAATGAAATAGTGAACGCCGAATTTTAAATTTATACCCAGTGGCTCAAAATATTATTTTGGATATGTTAAAATAAAATATTCGATAGAATAAACTTTCTTGAAGCCTAAAATTTTCAAGGATTTGTGAGAATGGATCATTCCGATTTTATAGCCAAATAACTAAATAATAAATATTTAACCATTATGTTATGACGATCATATTTAGACTATCCAATTAAAACCACCATTGATAGATAAGATATTTAAAAATATCTCGTTTATAAAATGTGACCTTATATCGTGTCCGACACTTCGCAATCAATGTGTGAAATTTGACGTTTAATAAATCTATTAATGATGAATGTCTTTCACAATTACTAATAAAATATATCGCTTGCTTAAGAAAAAAATAAATAATGAATTAATCATACCCGATTGATCTTTTTTACCTTAATATAAATTATATTACATTATGAAAGAACGAAGAAAGACTATTTAAAATATCTTTTTCTACAACCGTTTAGTTATAACGTTTTTACATCACTATTTTTTAGTATTTCAGTTACGTTATGAGATTCATAACACAACTAGTGGTGTTTGGTGTTATGAATCTATAATATAACACAACTAGTTTTTATAATAATGATAATTCCCCACAATTATAATTAAAAAAATGTGACAAATATTATAGTTAAAGGTGTTAAAGATGGGCGACTAATAAACGAAAATTAAAACAGCATTTTCTTATTTTTCGGTTTGTAAATAAAACGTAAAAGTACAACAAATTTCTAAATATAAAATCGAACGAAAGTAAGCATGAATACAAAACAGCACAAAGAATTGTACGGACAGCTATAACAAAAAAGAAAAACGAAAGCTGGGAAAGAAACTGCACAAGAATTAATACATATATAGGAGGTAGTAGAAGTACCGAAAGCTGGAGAATATTAAGGTCCCTTCGAAAAGAGAAGACTAAAGATATCATCTCACCAATTACATTAACAAAATGGGACGAATACTTTGCTAAACTGTTGACCGAAGAAAGGGCCGAATATCAACAAACATTTCAGCCACAATCCGACATTCAAATAAGAACCGCAGCTTCTCCACTGAGGATCAATACCAAAGAAGTAAAACAAATTTGCCAAACCCTGAAAAATAGAAAATCGCCTGGTCCAGGTGAAATTCCTCCAGAATTACTCAAGTACGGCACGGATAAATTATATAAGCAGCTCGCTAGTCTTTTCCAAAAGTGCCTTAATGGTGAAAATATACCGAAAGAATGGAAGACATCATATATAACAACAATACACAAGAAAGGAAGTAAAGACGATTGCGATAACTATCGAGGAATCTCCGTGCTGAGCTCTGTTTCAAGGGTCTATGAAAAATTGGTCAAAAAGAGAATTGCAGAAGAATACCGGGATATGGAGGCTGAAGAACAAGCGGGATTTAGAGATGGTAGATCTACGGTCGACCATTTATTTACACTAACACAGATAATTGAGAAAAAGATGGCAAGAAATCAAGAAATACATCTCCTCTACGTAGACCTCAAGAAAGCATATGATAGTGTACCCCAGTCTAAATTGTGGGAAGCCCTCGAGAAAACAAATATCAGCATAACATTAATTAAGGCTGTCCAAGAACTTTATATGAACAACATTAGCCAAGTAAAGAAAGGACAAACAGTATCAAAGGGATTCAGCATAAACAAAGGTCTTAAACAGGGCTGCTGTCTATCGCCCACACTGTTTAAAATCTATTTGGAACAAGCTCTGAAAACGTGGAAAAGGAAGTGTGAACAGATGGGGATGCCATTAAACGACTCGATACTTTACACTCTTTGTTTCGCTGATGATCAAATAATACTAGCTCAAGACTACGAGGACCTGGAATATATGACCCGCAAACTAATTGAAGAGTATAACAAGTGGGGGCTGGAGGTAAACCTTAAGAAGACGGAATATATGTGTATCGGCGGCGAACAACAGAACATAATCCTAGAACAGCAACAGCAAGAAATAAAACACTACCGAAAATATAAATATCTTGGCATGCACATTACCAACGATGGTAGCCTTGATGAAGAAATTAAGTGCAGAAACAACCAGGGAAGACAAGCAATTAGACAACTCAACAGTATTTTATGAGATAAGGCCGTATCAAAAGAAAACAAACACAAAATTTATAACAGCATAGTTAAAAGTATCATTAGTTATGGTAGTGAAGTATGGCCTTTGAAAGAAAGAAACCTTAAGTTGCTCGAAGCTACATAAATGGACTTTTGGAGGCGCGCGGCCGGAAAATCGAAACTGGATAGAGTTAGAAATGAAAGAATTCAGAACATCATGGGCGTTAAACACCGAATATCAGAAGACATCAAAATTAACAAACTCAGGTGGTACGCGCACGTACAAAGAATGGAAGAGAACAGAATCCCGAAAAAAATACTCAATTGGACACCACAAGGCAAACGCAAGACAGGGAGACCTAGACGGAATTGGAGAGAAGGAATAGACGGGGACATCACAACAAGAGGAATAGACGAAAACCTCTGGACAGACAGAGACCAATGGAGACTGGAAATCAGAAGACGTCGAAGAACGTTATAAACTGATTTGTATATATATATAAATAAAACGTTGTACATGACACGTGCGTTTAAACATGATTACAACACTCGTGTGATTAGAACGACTCGGTCTACGACCTCGTCGTTCTAATCGTTCACACTCGTTGTTGTAGTCATGTTCATAAACACACTTGTACTGTAAATAACTAATATACAACTATTTAAGAACACTTTACGTCTATTATAAACCGTTAAAGTTAAAATGACATAATATGTAGTGAAACTCCAAATTAGCAATTACTACCTGATAGTAATTACTTCTTTAGATATTTAAAGAAGAAAACATTCACCCAAGGTGTATACACCAGTAATGACCTATGCATGCGAAACCTGGACACTTAAAACGGACATCATAAGGAAACTGCAGGTCGCACAATGCTCAATGGAACGAAATATGCTGGGGATAACCAAGAGAGCCCGTAAAAGAATAGAGTAGATAAGACAAAAAAATCAGGATATAATGATGATAGATAGATGTCATCTACAAAATCAAATCCCTCAAATGGGCAGGACACTTGGCAAGAAGAACGGACAACAGATGGACCACAAAAATTACAGCATGGTATCCACAAGGAATTAAGAGACCTAGAAGAAGATTGAATCTGAGATGGGACCACGATATTAGAAAATTAACAGTGACAACTTGGTCCCGCATAGACAACAATAGACAGCAATGGGCCCAACTACAAAGAGAGTATGTGAGAGAGGCTACACCATAATTGGAAATGGTTGAATAAGCTGAAAATGATGATGGTGATCAATTACTTAATGAGAAAAATTCAAAAAACTTTCTGTATTTGATTTTTTGGTTTGTTTTTAATTTTTATTTATGTTATATTTACTAAAATCAAAGAAGCGGTACCCACAAAATACTAATCTAATTATTTTCAAGAAATAAACACGGCCCAATTGTGCAGATATTATTTACAATTTCATTGCTTTCACACATTAAACAAGTAAAAGTTTCACGGTAATTTTAATCTTATTCCAGTAAACTGAGGTATTTCATCTGCTCATGAAATGCCTGGTTAATAAGCCATCTGTATATCCTCAAGATGTTTTATCGTTATTTTTGAAATATCAGATTATTTCTAACTGACAGGATGCTATAAATCTCGGACTTGAAAATTGGTCTTCCAAATGGCAGATGATGATATTTTACAATTTCTAGGCTTCCTCCCGAGGAGTCCAATTATGTAAATATCTAGGTAGGCAATGGTCGCGGCGATTACGATTATCTAAAAACATATAGCTATAATTTAATATGTCACAGTTTTAATGAATTATGCTTTGAACTTCTTTCAGGAAATGTACCTATGATTTTAAACGAGAGAAGTTCTATAAAATTATTTATTGTTATCAGAGATATAAATGATATCTGTAAACAAAGGAAAAACTATTTAAAATATCTAAATACAACTACACTGGAACGATTTCGTTTTTTTAGCAGATACGGCTATTATAAACCCTTTTTACCATAGCAACTGTTAAAATTGCCTTATGTCTATCAAAAATAGTAGATAAAATAGTACTTTAACCACAATGGTAGATTAAATGATACTTTAACAGCGAGGATAGGTTAAAAACTTTATTTCTTCTCGCAAGTTTTTTAATTGCTTCCATTTTTGAAAATGTTTGTATTCCTTTTCATAAGTTATTCGGGATTTAAATGGAAGTAGTTTGGATATGGCGTTTGTCGCCTCAGCCTGAATATCTGTTGGTAATTTACTTATTTCGTTTTTAGCCATTTCTGGCGCTAATTCAATCAGCAATCGACACAAAAGAGAATTAAAAGATATTGACTCAAAACTGACAACTAAAGAGACAGCTTTATTTATTTGTCAAATTACATAGAAACCAACGCCAACCCAGCACAATATTTTTTCTACTCGTAATAAATTCCTTGAAACAATAATTTCTGAATATTTTTTAAAACGTAACTCGCTATGGAAAAAAATATTGTTTTACACACGACGATAAAATTGCATTATCGTCTCCCGAAATTAATTCACTCCCGATTTCATCGCTTGTGAATTAATCTTTTCGATCGACGATAAAATACCATTTTATCGTCTTGTATAAAAGATAACTATTAATAAACCTTACTCATTTTAACAGAGTTGACACTCTGTTAAAATGACATTATACAAAGTTCATTTTTTGCGTTGTTAAACTCTACTCTATGCCCTGTTTCATCAATGCTGCAAAATTTGTAAGCATTCATGGAACACAGGTTTTATCCAAATTATTCATGATGTTGTAAGGTTGAGCAAGAGTTTTCATTTTTGTATCTCTTCTAATTTACAAGATCCCTCTTTTGCCTATTCCTAACTATCTGCGATACCGCCTATAAAAAAGCTCCTGGTTTTTCAATAACACAATGTTCGTATAAAAAAATCGAGTCTTCTATCAACCAGTTAATTGAATAATAAAAAAACAATTAGCCTGTCCATTTTTTACAACCAGGATACTGTACGCGTACGCAGAGACGGAACGAATGACACATAAGTTACGTCAAACGATCTTATTGTTATCGGTATATTTATATATACGATCTGATTAATCTAATTAGTTATTTACATGTCGAGATAATAAATCTTTCGCTCTTGTTTTGTCTTTTAACGTACAGTATACGGATATGCGACGAGGTGATATGGCTTTTATAGGGGAATTTTTCTAGTTAGTATATAAAATAACTAATGAAATTAATATAGATTCAGGATCTGAGGACAATAGACAATTTAATAACTAGGTAAAACATTAATCTACAGGGTGAGTTTCCTACGATGTTCTCTATGGGTATCTCGGAAACTACTGGAGATGGAGAGTTGGTTAAATGGGGAAAGAATTGCAGTTTTTTGGGGTCATAAATATGCGCCTTTCAGATTTTTGAAAAAGTTCATGGCTTACTACATATTTCGAAAAAAACAAATTTCGGCTATTTTGAAAATTGTCCCTAATTCCATTATAATCTATTTTAGACAAAAAGTTTTCAGATAAAAGTTGTAGATAATCACATCCTTAATGAAATTGTTTCCTCCGTTTTTTTTTCTAAAGCCTGTCATTTTTGACATATGACACAAATATATATTTTTTTAAATAGAAACCATAGTTGGTCATGACTTCATAAGAAGCGCCATTTTTGTAAGCTTTTCGGCGATATAAGCTATAATATGTTTTCTTCTAAAAAATACTGAGTTATAGCCAATTTTCATAATTTTTAAACAGTTTCACTTAGTTAGCCATGGAAAAAAGTTTAATGGTCTTTGCTCTCAGAAATGTGAAGCTGTCACATCCAAACTTTGTAAATTAAAATAAACAAAAATTGTAAATATGAATTTTTCAAATGAATTCATTTGAAAAAAATATATTTTATATTATGCTAATTTTTAAATAATTACTCGTCTTTTTATTCTTTCAGATACAAAATACTTAAATTAAAAAGTCTTCTTATTGAAAGGATTTCAATTATACATTTTTATTAAAAGATGTTTCTTTTTATTTATTCAATATTAGTTTTTTTTTTAATTTTTACAACTCCAAAATGCTGTTACGTCAGCCGCATCGGCTGCCGACGGGTCTCAATAAACTATCTCTCTCAATGTTGATGGAGAACTAACCTCTCTGTCTCATATACTGACTTTTGTCAAAGTTCTGAGACTGTATGATGAGTTATAGTTATAACTTCCCCCCTCCCATTCAATCTAGAATCTAGTTCAATTCTTATTTAATAAGAACTTGTGGCACCAAGATCGAAAGACGAATGTTTTAATTCATTTTCCACCACATTTTCGCCATTTTGGTATTTACAAAACAAACATCCAAAGAAGTTCATTTATTCCTAGAGAAAATCCGATATTTTTCTGATCGGCACCGGCATCTGACCACTTCGATTCCGGGTTTCCGGTCAGCTGAACAAGGTCAGCGACGAGCACCAAGAAAAAGGAACAGCGCGCCGGCATCGAGGAAAAGCAGCGCGGCGCGGCGCAATAAGAAGAAGACGAGGTGGAAGAAGAAGAGGAGGAAAGAAGCGAATAGTACTACACGGGTTAGGCAGGCACTTAACCCTGTAAATCAAGATATTCTAACAGCACACCGCGGTTTATTTATACACCCGGCCGACCGCTACGAAATAAGAAAAAGAGGCGGCTCGCGCCGCGCAAGAAGCACCTTGGGGAACCTAACTGTTCACGTAATTTTCGAGATTGCACCGCAATATTGATTTATAGAAAACGATGGACGGTCTTCGGAACGGTCCGGCGAACTTCCATGCTCGCCTCGCTCGCGCAAAGCTTATTTATGCATTTGGCCGGTAACTATACAAGTAGAGGCGGATTTTTACGATGGAGCACGGTTGGTAAAATACCGATGCTACCCGACTCATTCATGAAAAAAGGGTGCACATTGATGCACTTGATATTTACGATCTAACGCCAATACGATCTCTGTTACGTCTTAAGGTTGATGTATTGCACCAGTCCTTGTGATGAACCCTCTATTTAAAAATAGAAATATTTCTTTAACCCTTAACTGGTCCGGCGTCGTCTGACAGACTACGCCAAATAATTAACTCATTCTCATTAGTTACTGGGACCGCCCACACAATTGGCGTTCCAGCTAATCCTCCCCCTCTCGGTCTGATAGCCATATTTATGCCCAAACTGGATTAGTTTTTTAGAAGTTATGGCAGAAGTTACTTAAGCCGTAGTCTCTCAGACGACGCCGGACCGTTTGCGTAAGATTTTATGTTTGACAAACTTTTGTAAAATATGGCCGGGCCTTCGAAAAGAGTGCGTTTAGGAGACTCTAGTTATGAAGAAACTCTATGAAAATGATATGATGAGGACTGTGACAGTGACAATATGACAATCTGCCAGACAAATGCGTTTGACAATGTCCAATATTCCAAGAGAAATATACTTTACAATTGGTAGAATACTTGCAATTCCTGTACAACCAGAACACGCCCACGGAGATATT